CTTAAAAGTAAAGCAAAATAAAATAAAATATAAAAATAAAAGAAAAATAAATAAACAAATAAATCATTTATGAAAGTCCTGGGGGTTGAGGATTGCATAATGACAAGATGGGAAGAGAAAAGAAAAAAAACAAAGAAATGAAGGAAAAAAGTTATATTTTTGCTTTGTTTTTAATCATCAGATTTTTGGTTTAGGTAGCAAGAAATAGAAGGAGGCCAAAGCATCTTATTGATAGTAAGCATTGTTTATTGAGTATTTTGAAGTGAATAATGAGAAAAACTGGATACAATATTAGTAGTTAGGAAAAAAGAGAAGAAGAAGGTTTTATTATTGTTATGAAATATTTGAGAAAAGTCAAAGGGAGACAAATGTAAATGTTGGGGGAATATCAAAGGCTGAGAATCAATGAACTGCAAGAGAAAGAAGTCTGGCAAAGAGATATGAAGAGAAGTGGGAAGGATATAAAGAGACGTAGGAGAATTCCTTCACCTCCTATGCATTACACTGTCAGAAAAAAGTCAACATAAAGAGAAGCATACATGCACACACTCATAGGAGAACAAATATAACTAATGGAATAGAAGTCAAGGTTGATGTAAGAAAGGAAAATAGGAGCAAAGAGCAAAAGCAAGATAAAAATTAAAAATAGAAAAATAATACAATTAAGTAAAGAATAACAACCTTTTTCTACCATTTCAGATATGTGTGTCTGTTCCTAAGTCCAGGGATAAGGAGCAGAGCTCAGGTTAAGTGTTGTCATTGTTCATGCTGGAAGTCTACAGTTGCAGAACGGTGCTGGGTATGGAGATCTGCTTAAGTGGGAACATGTGCCATGTGAGCTTCCAATCCTATGTAGCTCAGGCTGAAACTGGCTTCTAGAAGGGGCCCGTTGGGCTTTGCCCAATGTTTGCCTCTCAGAAGAACAAGCCCAGTCTGTCACTCAACTGCTGGAAGTGTTTCACCTTTCCCTCACCCACTCTGGGGACTTGGCAGTGTGAAGCCACAGAGGGGCTATTACGGGTGTTGGGTTCAAACACCCAGTTCATCCCTAAAATGGCATCTCTGTGTGCTCCTGCTCCACAAAACTGTGTCCTTAGGGTCTTTTATAAAAGATATTTACCAAGTATTGACTAGGGAACTTTGCTCTGGAAGTGGTCTCATGTTCTTTTGCTAGATCCAATGGCAGAAGACTTTTCACCTTCTGGTATAGTTCTTAGGCTCTCTGTTAGAAGAAAAAAATGTTAGTTTCAGTTTGCCTCCCAACTGATGGCCAGCGCAGTCTTTCCTTCACAGTGTGATCTAATTATTCTGTGTCATTAATCCTGTTTTCTTCACCTCTGTCAGTTCCCTCATAGTTCCTGTGTACCCTCCACTCACTTGGATTCTTCTCAAGCTGTACTGTTTCAGACTTTGGACATTTTGTCCTAGAGAAGTTAAGTTGCTGAAACTCCCTGCACTACCATTTTGGGACCATTCACACAATAGTCTTGTGTGCAATGCTTCTCAGTGATTATTTAAAGTTTTGTTGTATTGACATCAATTAAAAATTAAATACTTTTAATATAAGGTTTAAAAGTTAAACCACCAAACTGAGTTGGTCAGAGGAAGCCAGGTGCCTTACCTATCTCATTACCCTGATGGTTAGGGCAGCCAGCGTGAGAAGTATTCAGTGAATGGCATTCAACTTTGCCAGAGAAACCTGGTGCCAGGCTCAATCCTGTACATGGGGGTAAGTGCAGCATTGTAGGAATTGCCTAATAGGCAACCCACTTGGCCAAAGGGACATAGGGACCTTACCCAAACCTCTACACAGCAGGAAGTTGCCTGGACTGG